CTGGACCATGAATAAAAACTTATCAAACATACATATGAGAGATATGTCATATTGGGTTCATAAAATAGTCATTAGAAATCAGCTAACTTTTCAAAATGTTAATACAAATTATTGAATTGTGTTCAGAGAATAAAAGAATTGAAACAAACTTTAAGGAGGTTGTGGCTCTGCTAATCTGTGGATAATGAATAAAGTACACTTTTACAGTCTTTAGTCATAAACGTGACAGTGGATTCGATATTATTAAGGTTTTTCTAACTATTCACATGATGACTGTTGATGAGCTCTGTGATTTTTTCACAACCATTACCCAGAATCCAAGTTATTTCAGAATGTTTAGGTGCTCTGACGCGTTTATTGATAAGAGGAATTCGATTTTGTGCATTGGAGTCACTAATAGTTGATGACAACTCATGGTTAATGACTTTTACGCTAATCAACTGTTTAGTTCGATAAAAAAATATACATCTACTGTGAATTTATTTGTCTTGGGGTAACGTTCTTGCAAGTGCCATCATAAATGATGATGTTCAATTCATGTTAATTATCCGTTCTATATGCTTTTTATATATGGCAATCACGAGTCTATTGCATTTAAACAGGATATCTTGATATGAATATCCTAAAAATTCGGAAGTTTGACGATCTCTTTATTGTAAGGAAGTGCTTTTAGATAGTTTGATGAGAGCGAGAACCAACATTCTTCAAACGGTCACTGCTTTCAACTTATTTGTTTACTTGTACATATGTTAAAATGATATCTCGACAGTAAACTTCTTCGAATTTTCTATTATGTCTTTTTGAGCGTGTGAACTCACTGTGACTAGTGGTGCGTCTATAGTATTGATTAGAATTCATCATCACATGAATGACATCTATTAGTATTCTCTTCTGTACCATGGTAAGTTAAACTTCACACAATGAGGCGCACACTGAAATTAAGAGAAGCATGTTTGAATCCATATACATTGAGACAGCTCACAGAAGTGAAAATGTCTGTGACACTGATTTTACTGCACATAATTAAACCACATGTTGAGGTGTGAGCCTGTTTTTAGACTCATTCAGTAAGGCTGCTGAGAACACTGATTACGCTATTCTATTTGAGATTCATAAAGGTTAATTAGAGAGTCAACTCTACGTTTATCTTTTGTCACAGAGATGGAACAGGTACATCTGAAAATTCAAATGACTTTGAATCTAAGGAAGAGCAATATGAGTGAAAGAAATGTACGAAAACCTTTCTGTCAAAGAATGCTATGACTTTTTCTACAGACATCATACTTGTTAGTTTATTGACTGATATGAGTCTAAAAACAAAGTATCTGGGTGTGATATAGCTAACAACGTCTTTATTCATGTTGTGTAATTCAAAGACGACTGGAGATTAAATATTGGATGGTTCCAATCTATATACTGAAGGAGGTACAACGCAGGAAGAACCACGGATATTCGTTGACCGACAAACTTAGACATGATTAATAAGAATGTTGTCACCAATTTGACGCTTGTCGAATAGAAATATCCGTCAGGCAGTAAATGAGTTATAACGTATTGTCGTGACTGTACATATTTGACAAGGTGTAGAGGAATGTCAAGACCACTTGCATAATACCTATTAGATAATTGTATGTTCAAGCGTGGTATAGGTTTGTTTCTTGTGGTCAGCCTAGACATTATGTTATGTCTGCTTACATTAGTTTTATGTCAAACGTTTCTTGTGATTGTCACATTAGGTTTATTCGATTCAGGCAGTGTTATTTCGACAAGTTGCCAATTGTCTGTAGGTAAGGATGGTCTGAAAAATTGTTGCATAAACTAGTTCTTACTGGATATATATATATTAAAACTTATTTATTATATACAATTATTTCAAAAGAAGGGACCTAATGCTGTTATGTACAATTTTGTGTTAGTATTCAACTGTAAGTAACACTCTGATAACAGAACATATATCTCATATTTGATAAAATTAATTGCACTCGACAGAACCGAATCATTTCATCATTGCAGAAATAAGATATAGGCATGCTTAGTCAATTTATTAGTTATCTACAAAACGTAGACGAGCATACTTCGATAGCAGGTTGCCATAATGTTGAAGCATTCCCATGAACCAACTACTTGTTGACGATAAAAAGGGTAAGATCTAGTATGAATGAACTTATTTTGGTGTGATGAAGTCTCAATAGCAATCTCCACACTGGTTTCGGTACCAAATACTTGCCGAAGTATGGTTGTTCCTTTCGAACTCCAATCCTTATTCTTACAACGCTTCGACGAGCTGTCGTTCAGGGACTGGAAATCGTTAAAATTGATAGGTCAAAATAAACCTCAAATACTCGAGTACTCTTGATTCAACAAAACCTTACATGATTAATTAGCTTCTGCAAATAGCCATTTCTCTTATGCCCATTCCTTTATATCCGCATTTGTAAGTAGCAGCCGTCTTTGTTAAAGCGGTAATTTGAAGGCGAACACGATTTCAATATAATTTCTATAACTGGTTGGATAAGACTAACTTATGTACAGATCAGTGGAATTTGAAGTATATTAGTCAGTTGGAAAACACCAATGATTGACGAGAATTGTGCATTATTCGATACACAAATATATCAGCCACCTATGTGTTGGTAACACTCTATCCACTATTATTCTGTACAAATCCGCAGTGAGTGCTTGTGTTTGATGATCACAAATAACGGATGTCGGAATGTGTTAGGTCTCGATAAACATAATTGATGGTAACTTTGGGATCCATTTATGGACCAATACTAAACATACATTTTTGTCGTATAATTGTTAAACAACTAAACCATTATTATTATTCATGTTCCTCCTATTATAAACTATATTTTGACCTATGATCCATTATTATACGTTTTACCATTCTTGAATTATGCCCTGTCTATTATTCGCTGCCTCCCAGATTAACAGCCACATTTGGTCAAATTCTGTACAAATGTTATTTCCCATTCTATGTTACGTTGTCGTCTGTTTGATAAGTATGTAAGCTCAGTAAGTTGGAAATATAATGATTCATATTGCACACACTGAGACTCGTGTTCTGGACTTAACCGACTGAGCTAGGCGGAGGGCAGGACCAATCAGGACTCTAGGCTGCTCGCACGTGTTTTAAGCGTCCTTGGTCCGATCGATAATTTGCTGCTTCTGATAAGCGGCTTTGGGCTATAACACAATGCTGACGAGCAACAATTTTAAAGTACTGACGAGCACTCCGGATCGATTCTCTCCTGAAACTGAGATGACACTTGTCATAGAGCTAATTTTGAAGGATAACTTTTTGTCCCATTATATCTTTCACAATTGTCAGCTCTGCAATATATATATATATATATATATATATATACACGATTGTATATTCAGCCATCAAAACGTGTGCCATACCTGAAATTTCTAACAAAGATCGTCAAAAGATACTCCGGATATCTACGGTCCACATTGGCGTTTAAATCTTTCTTGATAAAACCTGATGTGTAGTAACGTTTTGATTAGTTTCTTAAAACTACTCCAATTCTCTAGATTGTAAATACATAATCTACACTAGCAGATTATGTTCATAATATACCATCAATTTAGAGAAGTTTCTAGTAGATATTCAAGGCCAGACGTTATTCCTGCATATCACATTAAGTAGTTGAATGTAAAATTTAAAAATAGGGAGTGGATACAATAAGGAAAATGGGAAATTCAACGTCAAATCCTGAGGTCCTGTCTTCAAATCCCTTAAAACACACAGCATTCAGGTCTTTAATTAAAGCAATGTAGTTTTCTTTAAACCTGGAAAAGACAAATCCAAATTAAGATTTTCTACTGACTTAGCCAGGGCTGAAATAATCAGCTGTATATTGCCAGTGTTAACAATAAAATCATGGAACAAACCAGAGTAGTTATGTGGTTGCTTTTACTCGTGAAATGAACATTTCTAAATAATACACAAAAATAAAATATAATTATCAGTGACCCCACTTTTATTAGGATTAAAATTACGTGATTTGGTATTACAAGATGCGAAGTGAACAGTGATCGTACAAACTAAATGACTATGTTGATTTCTGTTACGAGTGGAACAGTCAGCATGACAAACGGGCATAATTTCTGATAATGCAGTTTGCCACGTGATTGACATTTACGAAATCTTTGCACACCTATATGTGTTTCACTGAAACTATCTGTAAAGCTGGTGTGTATCTGCACTTCAAAACTAGACAGATGACGTGATAGTGTGCGGAGTGAACATCGACTCTGATTGAGTCATATAAAGTTGACGAGTCTCAAATATGACAAAGTAACGCGTTTCTGGTGTTCTACTGTTAGATATCATCCATTTCTGTTTTTATTACTCGTGACGTAATGGGATTGTTGAAGCAACTCCTACATGACGAACGTAGACCGTAAAATGAATGATCAATTGCAGTCCTTAACATCAACGAAAACATCCGAACAAACAGTACGAACGAATCTTCGTCACATCCTTTCTCAAAATTACGTGTGACTGAGAATAATTACTGAATATATTGTTTATAACGAAATGCTCGTCAACTGGCATAAATATCGTAATGATTGTTTTTCAACTCTATTATCTTACTCGATAATCCTACGGTAAAACTGTTGCTACCTCAGTCAGTATACATTTTTACTCATTCCCACTTGAGTATACATTCAACTCTGCAGACATATTTCACAATCAATCGTCATCTTATCTAACTAACTATAGTTTGTCATCCAGCACTAACTAATTAGTGACTAGTCATGTAACGAAGGATGGAAGTGTCTAATTTAATACCGATACATTATTTTGACAGCTCAGATTATAACAACGACCATCGTAAATATCAAATGATATCTTTCAAAAGTAGGACTTTATCGAAATAGACATTCATAACAGAATAATTGTTGATTGCAATTATCACTAAGCGTCGTAAACAGAATACTGCCAATTCCCAAATCAAATCCTGTATAACTCTTGCAATATTATTCAAGTTTTATTAAATTAAACAACCACGTAAATGTTAAAAATTACTATCACTATTTTATCAACAAAAGTACATCAGTTATCATGTTAACAATCATAAAACTGATTCAAAGTTGCATAAAGAAAAGCGTTCAGCAAATTGAAACGGACAACATAATGTGAAGTGATCGGATGAATTACAAAATGAAAACAACTCGGTCAAATTAATAAAAACAAGTGATATGAACTTTCTGAGAATCATGAATTACTGTTCCTCCTCTTATACAACCACCGACCAACAAAACATCCAATACATAAAACACAGAATGAGACGACAATCGGTATCCCAATATACAGGTAATGAAGTGTGTTATTGTGTTTGTTGTGTTCAGTCACGTGTGTGTGTACGGTCGTGTTCTGAAGAAAAGAAAACAGTAGGAATAATACTCAACAAAATATGTTACTCAAATAATTCATCATTCGTTTTACGTTATTTTCAATTTTGAAGACAACATAGATATACGTTGTCATATTTGATTTCTGAAATCACTGAGCTGATAAATTAATATGACTCGAAGCATTTACGTTAAACAACGTTTTTATTCATTGTTTATGGTTACCATGCCAAGCGTTGTACGCATACGTGATTTGATGTCGTCAACACATACAAAGCTTTGATTTAGTCACTTAGGGATGAACACGAATCAGTACGTATTCGAAGCAATAATAAAGTGTTCTTCCGAGTTAAAGGAATTACAATGTGAAATATTGCAATGTTTAAGGCAACCTATGAAGTTTAACAATTACTTACTTTTATACGGCAATCATCTACTTTCAATTCATGAGTATCTTCATCATTGCTAATAATGCACATATTAGCTGTTTCACACCAAATACACCTCATATTTGATGTTGTGGCATTTTGGCATTCGTCAGTCGAACTATGCTTTGAACAACTACCTGTGGATAAAATAGTGTGACTGCATTTCAAGTTATCAAACAAGAGATAAGTGAATAGCAAACTGTGTAACTTAAACTCCGTGGCAATATGGTGCTTTCTGAGTTGGGTATCTGCTCCTACTTTCACTAGGACATTCTTATCACACCTGTTCAATGTCCGAAAAGTTGGAATGATGAAAATATATCGACAATTTGTGACATTTTATTTGACGAATGCTGAGGGTGATCTGAACAACAGATTGTGGAGTGACTCTCTCAGTATTCGAAACGCTACTTTAATAGTCTAACACATGATGAACTGAGAAGTGTTTGTAGCCGCTCAATATAAAACTCCAGAAGGAATGAAACATACTCACACCGTGAAAACTATCAGCAATGTTGATGCTTTACATGTATATTGACTACCATGAATTGCGATTTGTACGCGTGACCTGTCTACACTTTCAGCTTTTCGAACAAGTATGGAACAGCAAAGATATCAGAAATTATACTACAATTTTTAAGGTAATCACATTTACGTGGATTGCATTCGCCATTTCAATATCTCAGAGCAATGCAATATTGCAAAAACGAAGGGAACATTCTTGTCAACACGCTATATACCAGCTGATGTTTAACATTTTCGAGGCCTATATCATCTCATCCATCGTTTTGTGGCGAAGTTTCACAGTACATTTCATCAAAATGAAGACTCTTATAGTAGTTCGAAGTAATTCCTTAGTCATTTCAACATCCAACAGCAAATTGACTTGTAATTATTAATGATAAGTGTAAAGTCATTGAGAATCATGACAGAATATCATCAAATAGCCAATTAAAATTACACATGACATTTCAAATTTGATGAAAAAGATGTCATCTATTCAAGTGTGTAGATAAAAAGTGCTGAATAAACAAGGTTTAACATACTCTCGATTGGTTCAATCTCCACTAGCGTGTCACTTTTGATCCATTTACTGGGGACACTTATCTCAGTTAATTCTACATATTTAACTAATTGAATAAAAAAAGACACATTTGATTTACTTTTATATGAACAACTATTCGTTTACATCATTTCATGAGTGACAAATGTTAAAATGAATTTTTCTGATTACGGATACAGTGACGTTAATGCAGCATCCTAAGAAAATATGCTTCACACAAATACTGGTTTCAAATATGACCGGTGTTCAACCAGCAATCGAAAAATGATGTCGTTAATTTTCTGATTTAGTTTGCAATAGTATCAGCGCAACATCTTCAAAACATGTGTATAACTCGTGACACACTCGTTGTTTAGTGGGTGAATACACTTGAGTGAATACACGAGTGCATATATAGTCTGTCGAATATTATCAGTCATATACACTTGTCAGGATCAGTCCATCGTTGAACGTATGTGTGAGTGTTCCCCATTGTACGTCCACAATTTCGTGATAATGACATTCACACATCTTGATAGTAACTCTAGAAATATCAGGTTAAGCAAACGTCAGCAAATATGCCTCTTCAGATTCCTTTTCGTTGCCATTTATCAAAGACAATTGGAACTAAATTACTGCGAATTCACCACAATAACTCAACTTTATTTCACAACGGTAACAAATATGACGGTTGTTGGATTGAATACAAAGATAATTTGATCTCGATACAGTCAATTGCAGTGAAATATTGTTCGAAGAATACTCGACATTTTCTTGATTACTCTTCACCGTGATTCTTTATTGAATGTGACAACAAAATGTCCGTTCATGAAGTGTAAACATATAATTGACGTTGGATATTCAGTATACAGTAATGTCTAGGTAGTGCGTTTACGAAAAGCATTCTGATTTCAATGGCACTTCGACCAATTTGTCTCACATTCGAATCCATATAGACTTAATTACAATTATATAAGATCACTTTGACAGAAAATAACAAGTCACTATATTGACATGTTCATGACTGAGAACAAATAGAAAGCAAGATAACATGAAACAAACTGTGTTGATAGAGAATAATGTGCATCAAAATACTAGCAAAAATTGTTACTTTCAAGTGAATCTGAACAAGCATCTATATATTGAATCTTTGTGTACAGCTGCCTATCCTCGATTTCCGTAGGAATCTGAAAAGACGTTTTGGAAATATCGAACACTGATCCTCGCAAAATATACACACTATGAACTAATCAACAGTTTAAACACAAAGTCACTCATAATATTCAACAGTGTAATTTTCGAACATCTTATATTTAGAAGACGAAATAGAGTTTGACTGAAGATGACTGTTTCCGTACGATAATCTCATATACACTGTTTGTTCCTATTCGCCTCGACGACATCATCGTTTAGTTTGATGGTACTTCACTTCCAATGATTCACTTTTTTAGGAAGTAGGTGAAGAAAATGTGTGTCACTAAAAAAACTATAAAAGTGTCATTCACTCTGTTTGCACATTTCAATGTGATGATCCCTTTACACCGTGTTAAATATGTCTTAATATATTCAAGCGTATTGCTATGCAGGAATGAGTAGAATAATCTATAGTACGTGAAATAAAAGTTTATTTCCATTCAATTGTTCAACTTACGTTCTCATAATAGATAGATATCTTCCCATTCCGATGTATCAGATTAGTGACCTTGCTTGTTATATCTGCAAAGAAAAGTCAATGGCTGTATAAATTCTAAATTAAAAATGATGAGCATGTTATTATTAAATGTGACAGTGTAAATGTCTACTCACCAAAGATCAGATTGAGTGATCACCTATTGTGTTATCACGAATGTTTTCCTCGGTCAATACAAAACAAATATTATCAAGTGAACGTCATGTCGATGAAGTGAATATAATTCCTTCAAAATTACTGTCAGGTGCTTCGTCTTCCAAACCCAACAGGTAGTTCTATTTGAGCGGTGTTTTCTCTAATCACACCCAAAACAATCCGCTCTTAAACTACATGACATGTGTTGTGGAGTGTTTGCTTACAATTGAAACTTGAGAAACACATTGATCAATAAATCGATCGATCGACACTGACCATAGTGATTATAAAGGACACAAATGTATTTGTTAAACATGTGAACTGAATAGCTTCCGAGATACCGTCTTAAAGATGTCCTGATTTGATTACCATGTGATTACTGAAGGTGTGAAGCGTGCTGTTAACTTAAACGGAATTCACATCAAGTTCCATTGAAGCTTGTCAGCGATGATGAATGTGTGCATTTGTGTTTTACGCAAGTGGAGTGACATTGTATCTTCATTCGTCCATTAATTAATCGTCAAGTCTAGTCCATTTCAGTCTATGTCAACTATTGTTCAAGTTCAAATAAAAGTGTTTAAATGATTGGTGGACTACACGCATAATTCCGTCTCCACTTTCCAGAAGCGCTACATATTCATACATTTGCTAGCCACTGTGAAAACACGAATTGCACAAACTGAACAGGTAAATTGTGAGCAATCACAATGAGTGCTAAGATTTTACATTCCATAAAATAATCATTCAACGTTCGCTTACATGTATCATTAACATGTGTCCGAAAATACCATTTCACAGCAATTGATTCATCTGCAAAAATGAAAATCAAAGGGGGTTTTGTCTATATGTGTAGTGACTATGATTATGTTTTAATAAAGGTACACTATAACGTTGAATGAATTCGCACACGAGTAATCAACTACCTTCCAAGAATAAAGTGAACCGGCACAATTAAATGAACAATTATTTCTTGTGGGGAAGTTTCACGGTTTATTATTATTATTGTTATTTCGAAAACATGATGAAGGTTTCAATCCAGTCAATTGAGAATATTATTTTACTGCTGTACAGTTGATTCTAGGAGCTTCCACTGACTAAACGACCTTTAATATCCACTTGAAAAAATCCTAACTAAATCATTTTCTGAAATTCTGTTACTCGAATGAAATAGAGTTCTCTAAATTGATCCAATTATTATGCAGAAATGTTACTCCAATGTGTTTAATTCCGATAACTGACTGAAATGAATGAACCTGATCTTGATGTTAAGGGTGTTCCTAAGCTTACTAACTCAAATCGTCCTCGTGAACAACTTTGCTTATAGTTTTACGTGTAATCAATTAGATTCATTTGTTTTACTAGGAAGTATCGTTTCTGTGGCATACGTTCCGCATTGTAGTTTCGATAGACTGGAGAATAGCTACTTTCCACTCAGGTGACTACATCGTTTAATTTATCATTTCTACTGAATCAATTTGACTGTACTTTGAAATGAGTCCCTTTTTGATGTAATAACTTTAGTTGACAGTCACCAATAGGTGCTTTGAACACTTGCCCAAATATCCAATCACACAATCAAAATAATCACTGTGTATTGGTCAGTTTTCGTGCAGTAATCATGCAAATTACTGATTCATTTATGCAAAGTTAATGTGTGAAAAACAACTGAAAATGTTACTGAATAATAGAACTCACTGTTATGTAGCATCTCAAATTGAGGAAGAAAATTGCCTGGCATAATGTGATTTATCAGTCCGGGTATATCACTCACGAATAACACTGAACCTGTATTTATAAAATGGAAACATACAATTTGATCAAAATTCTGTTGTGTGTGAATGAAATAATTCGAAATGAATTGAAGCCAAAGATGAATTGCATGAACTTCAGTCAGTTTACTATAAAACAGCAAATGTTTCACCAGTTGAGTATGAAAATGAAACACACATTCATGGAACAAACTGTGATTACCAAAACCCATTACCAAACTGTGATTACTAATTTTAATTTAAAGACAAAGGTTCTCTTACCAGTTGTTTGGATCAAGTATATTGAGAAGTTTGTTTCGTAATATTTAAACGGGAATTTTAGCTGAACGACCTTAACAGATGCAAATATAAGATTAAGTACTTTCATTGCGAAATGTAGTCAACTCACCTGTCTGGTATTAAATGTTTCAAACGTGCCATTAACAACTGGATTTGACTGTTTAGTACGTATTCTCTGTGAGTAATTGTAATAATGAGTCTGTGTTTGTGTGTTAGAATATGAATGATGAATACTTACATATTTGTATGTAGCGTTGACGAAAATTACTTTTTCATATTTCGCTAATTCACGTTGTTGACAGATGCCTTGACAATTGTAGATATCGCAAAGCAATGTGACGATCAAATACACCGATATTAACAGAGCAAGTGGAGGAATATATCTGAAATAGTTAATATGAGCAGAATAACGTGATGTTATTGAATCAAAATGAAATTCATATAACACACTCATTTAATTCGTTTGTTCAGTCAACACTCACCTCATCTTTCCGTTCAAAATAGTAATGAAATTTTAACAGAACGTGTCAGCTTTATATAGATTTTTCAGTTGTATTGTTGTTTGTTTCTGATTCGATGATTCAAAGTGACCATTAGACGTGGGCTGATATTCATTAAGCGCTGGTTGATGTTCTTTAACTTTTGTGTTGAAAAAGTTTTTGGCTTTGACTAGCAATACTGTGAATAAGTGACTGGTTTATTTGTACTTAAAATTTGTGCTAATGTTTCCACTAACAAGCAGTTTATTGATTTGTAAAATGAGAATTTCTTTGATCTCTATTTTGTGTGAGTAGATGACAATCAGTTTCTTACACACATTTCTAGAAAGCGGCATTCCTTATTCTAATTAAGATTCATTTCACGCACACTACACAATAGAAAATACCATATTATCGGATTTATAAGAAAGAATGAAGTGATAGACAACAAGAAAGTATAATCACTGTTATTCTTACAAACAACTGAGGTCAACAGAATGATGTTTTTAAATAACAATGTCAATTATTTTACACTATCAATATAACTTAATTAAAAGTATATTTTTGTGAGAAAACTCATATTATGTTGTGAGTATGCAGACAGTTGTGATGATTATATTTATTATTCAACCACTTAATCCTAACAGAATCGTCAAGTTAGAGATTGTAATCCATACAGGACGAAGCGGCCGTCCATTGCTTCCAGGTTTTCAATGATGGTCTATCATCAATCGGTATATGATCTCAATCAAACAAATTTAGTTTGACGTAAGAAGCACGTGTTGTGTTTAGGCCAAACAATGACTGTTCATCGAGCATAATCTCATCCTGTCGGACAATGCTATCGCCTAAATTCGTTCAACTATTTCTTGTCAGTTGCCAAACACATTGTTGTATCAAAGGAATCGGAGGAGCGAAACCTGAGTGTCTGCTTGAGCAAACTAGAGAGGATGAAATACAAACAGGGAAACCAACAAACAATCAATGATAATCATTTCGGAACTGAAATCACGTCTTACTATCTATCTGTATATCACCGATTTTCGTTTAAACGAATGAAGACGTTTCAGTGAAGAAACGTTTGCCCTTGACGATATTAAATCATGAATCTGTACAATAGCATTTTCAGTTAATACGTTTGCATGTACTATTGTGCAATAAAACAGATGGATGTTGCAAAATTATCAAAGATATTCAAACTAATCTCTGCAGGGATCGATCATAATGAAGTGTTGTTGCACAAATTTGTTCGTGATAAACAAAATCTTCGTTGTTTAATAATTTTGGTGGTAATTAAAAACATTAATCTTTGGAACCAAAGATGAATATGACTGCGCACTTAAAAGATAAGGAGGAAAAGGAGTAATTATAAGAAATAATTAGCTATTCTATCATGTCAAATTCAATTGATTCATATGACCAATGTTGAATAAGCGATTGAGCGAGACTCTTCGGTGTACAGAATTGGGATTTGAAGTGGTTAATTACTATAGCTTCGATGGTATTCACTAAAACCTTTTCCTAGCTATTCTTTTTGTTTTGATGTGTAACTGGAGTGCAGATAGGCGAAAGTTGTGTGGTCTGAATTGACTGTGTCTTTGAGACTTGAGTTGTTGACTGATTTGGATATCTCATTAAATAATCATGCAGCATGGTGCTCAGATATTCCTTTACAATAGTTAGGGATGTTAGATCCTCAAATTTCACTTGGTAAATGCCTTCATTTTGTAACTTTACTTTGCGAATTCGGATTTCCTTGTTTTTGAGCTAAAAGCATTCTTTTCACCTTCATGTCGTATTTCCGACTTGCGCGAATCTTTGACGCTATTAGTCCGTTGTGTATTTTAGTATGCTATTTTGCAACTCTTCACAATGACAGTTCTATGCTGTGTATATACGTTTGATTTGTGTTTGCTGCTACTGCCCATGCTTCTAGAATTATGGAATATACTTGCTCGTTCAGAACTTCGACTCCTCTCCCTAGTTAGCGAGTCTGAGACACATCAGAATATCTAGCTTATTGGTCTTTGGTCACAAGTCTTCGTTTCGTTCGCATTGTAAGTAATCTTGTAACAGCTTCAAACCTAGTGAAATTGGCGACGGTCGTTTAGGAGACATAGAGTCTGCCAAAATTGAATTATTACTTGAGCAGCAGCTGAAACTGATGCAGACGTCAACTGATATAAAGATTTTGCCCCCTTACAGTCTAGCATATCTAGTGCAACTACAGTACCATCAATAGACGGCATGGCTAATAAAATTGCTGGGTTTCATTATGGTTCTGATGCCAGCGTTACTTTTGACATGTGGTTCTGGCGTTGGGAAGACCTATTGAAATTTGATTCTGCTGATCAAAATGATGCTTTGAAGGTTCGGCTACTACTTCGGAAGTTGTGTGCAACATCGTTTAATTCACTAGGATGATCTATTTTGACCTTTAATACACAATTATTGTGAACTCGGAAATATAGCCTGTCATGACGAAATTATCGAATAAAGTTTTAACCGCCACTCACGGTTCTTCTCTCTACTTCATTTGACACATGATGTGCGTCACATAGATTGATGAACTGAAGACGTGAAAACTACTTGATTCTATAATTGAACGATTACTTAACTCATTTCAACTACTATAGCTTCAATGGTACGAAAGTTATTCACTTAAAACTTTTACTAGCCTCTATTTTATTTTGTTTTGGAACTGGATCACAGATACTCGCAACATGTGTTGTCATCATTGACCGTATCACTTGGAGTTGAGTTATTGACCGATTTGTTCATCCCTTCAGGATAATCATACAGTGTGGTGCACGGATATTTATTTACAATTGTTTGGGATGTTAGGTTGCCGAATTTCACTTGGTAAATGCCTTCATTTTGTGAATTTAGTTTACGAATTTGAATTTCCTTGTTTTCTTACCAAAAGTGCTCTTTTCACCCTCATGTCAAACTTAACACTTGAGCGCATCTTTAACGCTGTTGGTCCGTTGTGTATCTCAGTATGGTATTTTGCAACGCTTCTCAAGGACAGTTCTATACTGCATATATAAGTTTGATTTGTGCTTGTTGCTAATACCCATGCTTCTGGCATTACGAAATATACTTTCCTGTTCCAAACTTCCACTTCTCTCTCTAGTTACAGGGTCGGAGAAGTATCAGATTACCTAGCTTATTGGCCTTCGGTCAGAAGTCTTTGTTCCGTTCGCACCTCAAGTGAACTCGTAATAGCTTCAAACCTAGCGAAATTGGTGAAGGTCGTTTAGGAGACATGGATCCTTCCAGATTTGAATTATTACAAATGCAGCAGCTAAAAATGATGCAAACGTTGACAGATATAAAGATTTGGCCTCCCACGCAGCCTACCACATCTAATGCAACTACAGTATCATCATCGCAAATAGCATAGCAAAGTTCCATTATGATCTTGATTCCAACACATGATATGCGTCCCATAGATTGATAAAATGCAAACATGTAAACTACATGATTCTATGGTCCAACTAAAACTTAACTCATTTGAAATTCGGTGGCAAATGGTTAGAGTGTTTATTCACAGCTGAAGCAAGACCTTGTATAAACCGATAACTAAAATATTTGTTACCACTTCGTTTGTTCATCATAAAAGTAGTATTGCTTTTCTAATTGAGAATTGCACACAACTCTACATCGCGTGAGTACGTGACTGTCAGTCACATAAACACACTATTAGAAAAAACAACATTCTTTACTCTAATTAAGAATAATTCTATGCACAGCACACAATACAGAATACCATATCACCTGATTAATTTGAAAGAAAGTAGGTCAAAGAAGACGACTAATTAATGAAGTGAGATCAACAGAAATATTTTTGTCGACTGGATGTTGAGATTATTGGCACTATTATCGTTAATTATTTTAAAAGAATATTTCTTGAGGCAAATAGCGTATCACTTACTAACGCTTGGTACTCCTTGTGACACAGCATAGGCCGACCAACCACACTCTCCATCTAATCTTGTCCAGGGCAATCTTTTCCAGCTGTTCCCAGTTGTTATTTATCTTTTCCATATCTGCTTCTAATGTGTACTTTGCCCTTTCGCTTTTCTGCTTTCTTTCACGATCCCAAGTTAGAGCTTCTATCGTGATGCAGTTCGGTGATTTCCGTAACGTATGTCCTATCCATTTCCATCGATTTTCCTAATTTCCACTTCCACTGGAAGCTGGTTTGCTCTCTCCCACAGAAGGCTGTTGCAGATAATATCTGGCCAACAGATGTTGAGCATCTTGCTTAGACAACCACTTATAAATACTTGCACCATCTGGATGTTGGTTTGTAGTAGTTCTCCACGTTTCAGCCCCTTACAGTTGAACTGTCTTCTTAAGCGAAGGATTCAACATCTTCCAGAGTTTCTCCATTAATTATGATCGGGTTAGTGTTCTAGGTGTTGTAATTTTGGATCTTGGTTCGTCCTTTATGCGTGCTGAGGCCCATTGACGCAGAAGCTGTTTCCATACTAGTTGTCTTCAGTTGCATTTCTTCATGTGTATGAGATAGGAGGGGTAGGTCATCTGCGATGTCCAAACTAACTAATCAGTCCTGAACTGTCCGTTGTATTTCGTTTTTTCCCTCAGATGACGAGGTCTTAATAATCCAGTCAACCACCAGAAGAAAGAGGAAGGTGGAGAGTAGTCAGCCATGTCTGACTCTGGTCCTTAGTTGTAATACGTCTGTCAGCTGTCCTACATGCAACACTTTGCACTGTGATCCGTCGTGTGAGCTCCGAATAATGTCGACAACCTTCTCAGGAACTGGTCGTCCTGTTCCAATAAGTTGTCCGGACGTTCCATGTGCCCATAAAGTGTTTTGCTCTGCTTGTCAGAAGGCGTTTCGTTTTCATGACTTACAAAGGAACTGGGCTTTCACCATGGGGCATCATATCTCTTCAAAATGAAGATCTAGTTCCAAGGGCAGAGCGTTAATTGTTTGAATTATTTTTTCTGTTTAACTTTTGTATAGAGTGTCAGTTTTCTACGGGATGGGGTCGCT